TCCTGATGCTGGCGGGACCCTGGGTTTGATCCTCAGCAACACATAGAAATAAAGGTATTTTGTCCAATTACATATATTTTTTTTAGAAAATAAATATTTTTTCAGAAAAGAAAGATCTAAAACTTGTTTACATTTTTTTAGCAAACATAGCTATATATTTTTCAGCTGTGCTGTCACCCACCAAGACTCCTATTTCCCATAAAGGTTCAAATAAAGGACTTAGAACCCAATAATTTCATAAAAGAATGTTTGCAACCAAGTCCCCAATTGTGTAACAGAAATTTTCTAAAATGTACTCACTGCAGAATTCAACCAATTTTATTAGAGAATTAGCACTGAATGCAAAGCTCCTCCTACTTTTCTTAAGGGGTTGGCTAACTATAATCCCCAGGCCAAATCTGGCCTACTACCTGGTTTCATAAATAAAGTTTTATTGGAACACAAGTGCACTCATTTGCATACATAATATCTGTAGTGGCTGTCCTACTACAACAGCAGGGGTAAGTTTATTGCAACAGAAACTATATGGCTACAAAGTATTATCTATCTTTGTACAGAAAAAGTTTGCTGACTTCCATTCTAAAAATCTCTCAGGTGAACCTTAACTTTCACAGTATGTCTCTCAAACGTCCCTAACACATGAGTGACCACAAGAATGTTGCTTATCTTGTCTGGACTTTTCTTCTAATCTGTAAGAAGGGAGAGTTGTCATTTCCAATACAGACATTCATTATCATTGTGATTCTCAGCCAATAAGCAGTTTCCTAAGTGTGGTTTGATACTTCAGAATATCTTAAATAGCTGTACTTTTTTCTTTTTCCTTGTATTTTATTTATTTATTTTTTGGTACTGGGGATTGGACCCAGGGGTGTTCTACTACTGATCTGCATCCCTAGTACACCCCCCCCACCCCAACACACATACTTTTTATTTTGAGACAGGGTCCCACTAAGTTTCCCAGGCTGGCCCTGAAACTTGCAATCCTCCTGCTTCAGCCTCCTGAGTAGCTGAGATTAGGAGCCTGTGCTGCCACATCTGGTTAGAAAACAAGTGACACATTGGCAGCGCCCTATAGGAAACTAAGTGCCAAGCCCCCTCTTCCTCCTGAATGGCTTAACTTCCTGTGCTTTGCTTCTGTGAGGCTGGGCAGGCGAGAACTAAGCTTCCTTAGAATACATCACTATTTAGAACTACAAAAGCCCAAAGAATGGCATCATAACTGCATTCACAGGGCTGGGGATGTGGCTCAAGCGGTAGCGCGCTCAAGCGGTAGCCCTGGCATGCGTGCGGCCCAGGTTCGATCCTCCAGCACCACATACAAACAAAGATGTTGTGTCTGCCAATAACTAATAAATAAATAAATATTAGAAAAAAATAAAATAACTGCATTCACAGAGGAGAAGGGACTTAGACAAGTCTTCTTGGAGGAAATGATGCCTGATCTGAGTCTCAAGGGATGAAGAGGAATTTGTGCTGCTGAAGAAAGAATTAACCAATAAAGCAACAATGCATCCTATTATAGCTATCATTTTATTTGTTTAATCGGGAAAATGTTTCAGCATCTAAACCCCAGAAAGCCCTCTCTGAATTCAAACAGACTCTAATGAGTGTGTTTCACACTGCCAAGCACCTTTTCCCAACAGTCACCTTTTTTTTTCTTTCTTTTTTTAAATTGTTTTCAACAAATTATCAAATTCACATCCAAATCTTTAAAAAGACATCAGCTACCACAGGCATACACATTGTGTGATGGCCAAGGCCTATGACACCAAGACTTCTTTGAGAAGTGAAGATTCCAGAGCTGTCGCAGAGGTCAGCAAGAGGTGAGATAACTCTGACTTCAAGCGACTTGGCAGTGGGATTAGGCAACATGCTTAGGCAGCAGCCATATTCATCTGGCTAAACAATCCAAAAATCTACAACAATAGATTCTAAAGGGAAGAGAGTGATTTGAGTTGACCTAGGCATGCAATCTCAGCAGGACTGATTCCTACATAATTGCAAGTACTCTCATAATCCTGTCTGTACTGTTTTTGCAAGTAGAGTTCATTTATGCATTCAATAAATCTTAGTGAGTACCAACTATGTAGCACCATGTTTCTGTTCACTGGAAAAACATTAAAAAATTAGACAAAAATCCTTGCCCCTGTGGAACTTAGATGCTCGTGTGTTATCCTTGTACTGAGAAAAGTACAGTGAATTTTAACTTTTATCCCATAGGACTGTACTGAACAGTTCCCAAGGAATGTTTTGCCAAAGAGCCCCAACCAAACCTGAGCCATTCATCCCTCTGTCTCACCCTCTGTGTCACAGCAGTGAATAGGTCAGAGTAAAGCCAGGATAGCCAAATGCCTCTTCATTAACATGCCCTTATCATCAAGCCAAATGACTCCTGAAGCTGCAAAGCAGATATGTATCAAGACCCTAAAGAATGTTCACAGCTTTTGAATCACTCCTGTGTGTGTGTGTGTGTGTGTGTGTGTGTGTGTGTGTGTGTAGGAACTGAACCCAGGGCCTCATGTATGCCAAGCACTCTACAACTGAGTTATACTCCCAATCCCATTTCTAGAAATCTTAACCATGAAAATAGACTTAATTTCTGAAAACAATTTACATGCAAAAATGCACATCACAGTTTCATTTAACCTACACACACACACACACACACACACACACACAATTAAGTGTATAGCTACAAATGAATAGATCAATTATTTTTTACACGAGAAGAAATAACAAGCAGCCATTAAAATGGTGTCTACAAAGATTCTAGGTAATGTGGGAAAAGTTTTATAAAATGTTAGGAAGTCAAGCAGAACAAAACAACTATAAATTCAATACAAGAACCATGTGTAAAAATCTACTGACAAAGATAAAACATTATGGAAGTATTCCAAAACATTAATAATTAATATATTTAGATGTAAAAATTAAGAGTATTTTCTTTGTGAATTTTTCACTTTATTTTTATAAGTAAATGATGCAGGTTTTTTTTTTTTTAAGCAAACATGAAGTAGCAATAACAAGTGTAAAGCAGCCTATCATTGCAGCTAAGAACCTGAGATCTGGATCCAATTGCCTGGGCCTGAACTCTGATTCCTCAAGTTATTGTGTGACCTTGGGCAAGTTACTGGATCTTTTCATGCCCCAGTTTCTCATCTGCAAAACGGAGGTGATAATAGTGCCTACCTAACAACTGGCATGACAACTAATAGGTAATTCATGTAGGGTTCCTGGCAATAGAGTGTTATTACCAGTAAGTATTCAAAATGATGATTCTTCCAATATTCCAGGGGGCTCAAAGGAAAAATTTAAACAGAGGGAAAAGTTGGCAAACATCCTATTCTGATGTCGTAGGGGCAAGTAATTCAGAGTTGTGCTTCCACTGGGCAATTTTCCCTCACAGAATCAATCCCAAATCTGTTACTCATATTTTAAATTTTCCCCTGAAGAAGATGAACAGTATGTACACATTTATTTTATGGGTAATTACTTCCTTGGTTTCCTTTTATGCTCTCATCATAACTTACTGTGCAAAGTGCCTTTTGGTTTTAAAAATAAATCTAAAAATTCTGTTCATAGGATTGTCAAAAAACACAAATCATTAATATGAAATGACCTCATGAACCTATCAGTCAGACAACAGCAGTTAATCTGAAGATGAAAATAACTGTCAATACAGTCATATTTTCTGCCAAATGTCTATTTCAAAATCAGTGAAACCAGCAGCTGATTGCTTGGGTCCTACATCCAATATCCTTCTTTCTGTGAAAATTAAACCATCTAAATTTAGGTAAAATAAAGTCATTGATAACTAGCCCAGAATCTTGTTCACAAGAGCCACTATTTATCATTCTAATCTAAATTTCCTTCAACTTTTGACCCTATGAATCCTCTACTCAAAATAAGGCAGTGCTTCTATTCAGGTCTTGGTTTGGTCTGGCAACCTTTTCCTTCCCATGGACTCTCTTCTCCCTCTGCATGAAATATCTACCTACTTTACATAGCTCCACCTAAGAGATTCACAGGCTTAGATGTGAATCTTGCAGAGAACTAGATATATCATCTTCATCGGTCACATAACCTCAGTCTGTCTGTAAAGTGGGCATAACAAAGACACATCTCGCACAGTTACTATGGGGCTAAGCTAGACAACAGATACTAAAGAACTGGGCATGGTAGACAATTTAGTAATGAGTTCTTCTATTTATTGTCTTTGTTGGGGTTCCAGTAATTCTTAAAATCCTGATATCTCTGGTATCCTTCCTGTTTTTCCTGTTTTTCCTTCCCAGACCAGAAAGGCCAAGTACTACTGAACTCAGAATATTCTGTTTCATCAAAAGAACATTTGTTAAGTCCCTGGTGACTTGGAAAGGTAGATGCATTAATTAAAAGTAATTCGTGTCCCTTTTGGGTGGAGCCTAAGAAGTGGGGCTGGTGTGGGGGGGTGGCTTTAGTCAGTGGTAACCCATTATATTCTCTTCCCTGTGAGGTCCTTATCTGGGCTCAGCCCCCATGTCGCCCCACACCTGCAAAGACTAAGTTAATTAAAACATCTGAGCTGAGGTTCCTTCAGAGGGTACCAACCCCAAAAACTCTCCCAAGATCCCTCAAGACTCTCCCAAGATCCCCAGCCAATCTGGCCCCAGCCCTCAGCGGAAAGGTTCAACAACTGAAGGGACGCCACAAAGTGGACACGGACCTCGCGCCTTTGGAGACAGAAAGCTCTGGCCCCAGCCTGAGCTTTACAGCGCGCCTCCCGCCCCGCCGAACCGCCTTTTCCCGTGGAGCTGTTGAGAGAGGCGCAGGACCCCGGCCGCTTCCCACCTCGCCGGCGTCCGCCCAGAGCCCCGGGAGCTGCCAGGTGCACCCGCGAGCCCCACTTCGCGCTCTCGGCAGCGGTGCGCGCCGCCCCTTCGATGTTCCTCCGTGCGCTCAGCGCGCGGCGCTCCGGGGCCAGGCTGGGTGCAGCCCTCCGCGCCCGCAGGGGGAAACGCTACCTGTGAAAGTAATGTGCGCAGAAGAGGCCCAGAAGCAAAGTCCCAGGCGGTCCGAAAAGAGAGCGGGGCTGCCAGGCGAGGATCCCTGCGGACACCACAAAGGCGGGCAGCTCCTGCAGGAACCAGGCGGTGCGGGCGGGCAGGCAGGAGGTACCCCCGGGAGCAGGGATCTCCATGTGCTTCCCGTAGTTGAAGGGCTTGGTGAGGTATAGCATCAGTGCCCCCAGGGTGGCCATGGTGGCGCTACCTGCCAGCACCGGGCTCTGCTGGCACCGAACCGGCATTGCGCGCGTTCACTGCCTGTGACTGCCGCCCCTCGCAGAGAAGAGCGCGGCCCCCACGGCCCCTTTATGAAGCAGGAGACGCCACCCGGTGTCCGCCCCTTTGTCCTGGGCTCCCGCCCCTCTGTCGTGCCTCCCACCTCGGCGCGGCCGGCCCTGCCTCGACTTAGCAGCGATGCCCCTTTCTCAGGACTGACTCTTTCGGCTGCAGACACCGCAGAGAGGACAACTAAGGCTTTTGTGGAGCCAAAAATTGTCCTGGGGTCCCTGCCCTGCCCACGCGCCTGCCCTCTCTACCGCTTTGCACTCGGCTCCCTTTAGGCTGCCCTTCGATGACTTGCTCCTCGCCCATCCACCTCTGTTGCCATAACTTCTGGGTCTAAGCAACAAGGAAGAGAAAAACAGTGAGACAATTTGGCCAGGTAGTTCTCGCGCCCCAGACACACTGTGCCCTCCTCGCCACGCAGCCCCTGCCCTCGAACCCCCAAGCCAGGATCTCGCCAACTCCTCCCGGCCCCTGGTCTCACTCCCGCAGTTCCCACTCCACCCAGGATCCTTCCTTCACCCCTGGACGCGGCGTTCTGGCGCTGGGACCGTCCCCCATCCGCTCTGCTATTGGCTGGCTGCCCTGCTCCTTTGCCACTCTAACATCAATGTCAGCTCAGTCCTCAGCAGGACTCCCAGGCGGGTCCCAGCCTCTCCCTGCCTCAAACTATCCCTCGGTTTTTCTTTGTATCTGCACGTGTGTCCGGATCAGCCCACTTTAGTGAGAGCCGTGTTCCCTGAGCGCAGGTGTGGAGGCACGAATTTGGGCCAGCAGTATCCTCCTGCCCTGAAGTTGGCACAGACTCGGGCTAAAGTCTAGGGCTTCTCCCGCGGGACTCCCACTCCCAGCTCTGGAGTGGGTGTGTCCGGTTTCCTATGATGGTGAACTTGGAGATGCCACCGACCTCGGAACATCTGTCCAGCCTTCGTGCACTGGTCCCGTTCTTTCTCTCTTCCATTCCCCATCCTTCTCAATCTCCATGTCCTCGTTTTACCTCTTGCCTTCCCTGATCCAGCGTCCAGCTTTTCCTGACTTCCTCCTCCTTTGCATAGTGCCCCAACTCCTTTTCTTCCCACCCTCTTCCTTCCTTCTTATTCTGACCTGGGTTTCTCCTTCTAGGTTGACCTGCTTTCTTTGCCTGCTGTTTGCTCCCCTTCATTGATTACTTTATCCCTATTTTTCCCTCTTGGCCCTGCTTGTCGCTCAACCCCAGGACCTCCTCCTTTCTTTCTCTTCCTTTGCAGCTTTCTTCACCATTCCCCCTTAGCTCCACATCAACACCCTGCAGAAGGTCCTCTCAATATTTCCCCATCCACTCCAGCCAGGCCAACCAGCTGGTGCAGGAAAAGGCACAGTCCCTCATCCTCTATGGTTTTGGATGTTTTCTGACTCTTGGGACACTGTCGCATATGGTGATGCTTTAGTGCCTCAGGGCATCGTCAGCTGATGACCAAGAGGTATTTTTCGTCTCCCTGTTTAAACCAAACATGCACAGAAATTATTTTGGGGAAGGAAAAAGTTGACATTTACAAATCCCTGATAAGGAGAGACACAGTACACCATACAAGACTAGCAGGAAACACTAAGGTCAGTCAGGGTCAGCAGGACTGTGGGAGACATGGATGAGGCAGAATATGCAGGTTTAGAAATGGCTACTTTGAATGCTTCCAGTAGCTCTGGGGCATAGGGGCTGCCTCTGGTTGTCGGTTATCTGACCCTGGGCTGATTGAGGCAAGGATATGTGGCTCAGAGTTTGAGAGCCTAATAAAAAATATTGTTTGAAAAAATTAAAAAATTTTTAAAAAGCTCCCAGTTTGTAACCACTAGTTTGCAGTTGATTTTAGTGATCTGGTGACTTGCTACATGAAATGTTTTCCACTCTGGAAATGCATGCAGCTCCAAGCAGATTTTCTTCCCAAGAATTAAGTCTTCCCTTGAAGGCAGGGAAGCAGGGTATGTATACATGCAGACACACACAAAATGTCGGCGTTTAATTGAATAAACCTATACAAGTTTATGTATAGTTGGGGATCCATGTTCAGCATCCCTAGTGGGCAGAAGACGGCCCCTAACTCCCAAGTTTGAGGCTGGCCAGCAGCTGTGTGTGAGATTCCAACCCCGTTAATGTCTTTGGACCTTTGCCCCCAGCAGCCACTCTAAAGCTGATTTTGACCAGCAATGATAGACTATTCTTAACACTTTCAAAAGAGAAGAATTTTTTCAATGGAGCAGAAAGGAGGAAAGAGTTAAAACAAATTTACAAGTTGAGGGTGTAGCTCAGTGGTAGAGTATGCGCTTAGCATGCACAAGGCCCTGGGTTCCATTCCCAGCACTGACAAGA